ACACCATATGCTTCGGAAGATAGGTCTAGAACTACGTATGTACCAGACAGTAGGGGCCTCCTGTTTAATTCCAACTCTCAGTCCTCTTCTCACTCAGACCTGGTCCAGGCACAATGCGAGGGAACGCAGTGGACAAAGGCGCCTTATCACATACACACGGTTTCTGAGTAAAGGCCCATCCCGGATAGGCTCGGCATTCTCTTGGATTTTTGAGCGTGAAATAGCATCAGGAGCGAAGTGACGATGTCATCAGGACGACCCACCCCCTGCCCAGATCCCACTTCCATTACAACCTCCTTCTCCACCCAACCCAAAAATCTTTCCAAAATCTCCCAAGGGAAAAATCAAATGACAACAACCAAGAGCTTTTTCTGCGAGAGTCGGACGAATCTATCCCGAAGCTTTGTACGCCCTCCCCCCTTCCCGGCGAGCAGTACGACCCAAGAAATAGGATTCCACAACAATGATGTACCCCGGATGGTACCCAATTGTGTGAACGATCCCGGACAGGGAGCGGCAGACGCTGACGCACTCGTAAGTGAGGGTTTTGTCCCGAACCTCCCTAAAGGCAAGTGGCACGATAAATCTCCAAGACGTGTAGGATTAATACTCCTAGCAGGACAGAATTCGCTTCACCCCTGAGCAAGCACTGCCACAGTCGTAGCGCCTTATCAAGTTGCAACATACAGACCCCGACGCCCACCACGCTCATCCGCCCACAAGTGTCCGACCGATACGCTCGTACCGCTTCATACGGAGTACAATATGACGCGAAGGGATAGAAATGAAGCGGCTGCGGTGCTGTATGGATATATGAGTACATACATGCAGCCGTATCTACCGTAGCGGTTATTGGCACGATGCCAACGGGAAACTCGTCCAAATTGCTTTCTGAGTCGTAAGAACGAGACTTTTTTTGCAGGTTTTTGACCGCTTTGCTTCCCTTCTTCACCATTTCTCCACTATATAGCCCGCTGTTACTATTTCATACTGACCAAAGATCTCACACCTTCAACTTCCCTAGACTGTATACTAAGCCTCCCTGCTACTGAGCGGGCGTGACTGCATTTACTTTACCATGGCGCTGTCCGCGGGATATTTAAATTTGATACAAGCGTTGTGCTTTCTCGTACTGAACAAAATCATGAT